GAATAATATACAAGACCACAGTAGGCAGTGAGGTGGTCACTGGTAATATAAACCATGTGATTTCTGGTAAATGCACTGACATACGCAGTAACACTGGCCCACGGTTCCTTTCAGTGCTCTGTACTGTCTCAAGATGGGTGAACCATAGGGTGAAAGTTGAAGCACTGTAACAACACAGAACAGAAACGTTCCTCACATTCTTCATGTGTGAACAGACACACACATCTGGACTGAATTCAGATTCAGTCTGAGAGAATAAGGCAGCTTGAAAACACCACAGCATAATTACAGTTTTATAACTTGGGTGAAGTTTTTTCTCACAGTTTGGCCATGGTTTCATTTTGATAGTGTTGTCATGTCTGGACCATGTTTATCAGCATGATCCCATCTGTGACTGTGATCATGCCTGTTAGCATCATCATGTCTATTACCATGATCACGTCTGTGAGCATGATCTGTTAGCATCATCATGTCTATTACCATGTTCATGTCTGTTAGCATGATCTGTTAGCATCATCATGTCTATTACCATGTTCATGTCTGTTAGCATGATCTGTTAGCATCATCATGTCTATTACCATGTTCATGTCTGTTAGCATGGTCATGCTCAACTTGTCATCAACTTATCATCACTTCTTTTTCTTCTGTTGCTGTTCTTCTTGGCCTCCCCACCCCGGGCCCTGCCTCACGCTCTGTCTCTGTTTGTCCTCTGCAGCCGTGCTACCAGAAGGCCAGACAGTGGCTGCTCGCTAACATCCCTTCAGTCCTGGTGTTCGGAGTCTGTATTGGTGTTGTGCAGGTATTTATTTCCACTATTTATTTATCGGTAATTTGATGAGTTTTCGATATATTGATGTTGTCATTTGAAATCCTTGTATCTCTTTGGCCCGTAAAACCTCAAACTCAGCAGATTATAACAAAAACACATTGTTATTAGGCTTTATACACGTACACATCCAGAGTCCTAGCAGCAGGACACACTCCACACTCAGTTATTCATGTATTCTGACATAATGATGATGTACCTGAGTCTGTTAAACACAACACAGAGCTATCTATCAAATGTTCCCTGTTTCTGTCCCACTCACTTCCACGGTTTCAGTTTAATTCATTCACTAAAAGAACATGAACAGTGTCCAGCTACCAAGCTCCAGATGATAAACCTCAGTTATCACCGTGTGCTCCCATCATCTAAGCTTTACGAGCAGTATCCAGTGATTGAGTTTGTCTTCAGACAGATGTAGCCTCTCAGTGGAGGCTGTTGGGGCAGACTGCATCTGCTGAGGAAGCCTGCAAACACCACTTTTAAAAAAAATGGTTTATCTGTTTTTTGTTTATATTAATACTAGAACTGATAATCAGCCAGAGATAATGCAGTCACAAACAGGAATACATGTTCATTATTAACATGAGAAATGCTAGTTTATATAATGTTTTTTTTTTTTTTTTTTGAGGAACCTCTGATTTCATTGTACCCCCACCCCACCCCCCAACTTCTGAAACCTCCACTGTCTGTGTACAATAAACCTGCTTCATGTTGATGCTAGGAGAAGTGCTTTATATTTACTACAGTGTTTTGTGTTGTTAATGTTGCTGTTACTGACACAGGATCAGGTTCAGAGTGATTGAAGCTGTTGATAGGTTTTGTGTCTGTGCTCCTTTTCCCTGCTCAGATCTTGGCCCTGGTGTTCTCCATGCTGATGTACTGTCAGATTCTGTGTGCTGAGAAGCACCTGGACTGACTGCAGAGCAGCTGATCACCGGCCTGTGGTGGGAAGCCTTTGCACTAACTCTTCAGGGATCTCGGTCTGGTTCAAGGGTCCCCCTCAGATCCCCCGACAAACCAGCAGTATCTGACTAAAACCAGCAGTGGACACCAGTGGTCCGGACAAAGCCAGCAGTGACAGACTCTGCACTTGAGGGGAAACAGTATTTTCTACAGATATGAAATAATAGAGTGAAATTTGTTACAAATGATGTTTATAATATCAAACAACAAGCAGTGCATTATGTTATTCAGCAGGACTGACTGTGCTCACTATTCATAATTCAGTTATCTGGACTTCATCAACCACCCAGGACTCAGAGACCAGAACAGAGGACCCTTCACTTCACCTGCTGGCTCACTTTGAGAAGGGAAAGCTTTAGACCAGCAGGCCTTGTAAAAAGTTTTTAAGTAGCACTGAGTTCACTTTGTTCATGATGTCAGTCTGATATGTTATTCCTGTGATATAAGAGCACTTTCAACATATCTGTGTCAGAAACTACAGCTCTTATTTCAGTCTCTATTTACACCTGAGTTTATCAACTGTATCTGTTTCATTGGAGCATATATATCATTTCTCATACAGTATCAGTGCTGTATTATAGACCCTGTTTGAATCATATAGTCGTGTTCCCACTGTGTTTGTGTTGCTCTTCATTTTGTTCTCTGATGTCTTCCAGGCAGAGAGAGTCTCCAAATGATCCATAGAGATTTGTGTGTCAGTCTGTGGTGGTAACACATAAGACAGACTCCATACACTATAGTACAGGTGAACTCGTGTTATTTGGGGGACTTAATGAGCATTAATTAGCCTCACAGCTACAAACAGACCACAACATGTGCTGGATGAAGGAGGGATGCAGGTCTTACCTGAACCCAGGTGAGCTCCATTAGCTCTACACAGAGTCGACTCACTCCACTGGGTGGTTGATACCAGTTCGTCTGAAAAGACCAAAACCGACAATGACTTTCTTCTACTTAACAAGGACTGTAGCCTGATACAGCTGGTTTCTGTGCCACTAACAAAAACTGATAAATACAAAGAGCCACACTGCTGCACTGACTTCCTTCAGTTTATTCTGAACCAACTCAAACTATGCTCATTGTGTTTGTTTTGCTGATATGATCAGTGTTATGGCCTCCCTGACAAAATGAAAGGCTCAACTGGAGACCGGAACATTTAAAAGATGCCAAGACAGAGATGCCAAGAACAAAGAATTTATGTTATTTCAAACATAGCCAAAACATACTCAAAAATACTAAAGAAATCAAAAAGCGTGGAGATCCCTGCCAAAAAGAACAAAAGAAAGGCAGGCCACTGAGCCAGCCACGCCACGGGCCGTCACACTCAGGTACTCCCCCCTCAACTGCCTAATGCAAACTAAACTAAAACAAAAACCGATACCTGGACTACCACTGATTTCCAACCCAGAAACTAAAACAACGAAACTCAACATTCTGAACCATGCTGGGAAGGAAGAACAACATGGGGGAGAGGAGTCCACCCCCGAGCAGAAACCCTCTCCGCTCCTCTGTCCCTCCTTTTATATCAGGATGCCGTGCGTAACAATCGGCTGATCGGTGGTCAGATGTTGCTGCAGCTGCACTGACACTTCTCTAGCTTTAAAAATCTCTGAGGGTTTGATTTGCCTGAATCTGAATCTGTTTAAATAGATGCTCCAGATTTAGATCCAGCTGAGCTCGTTTGGTGTCTGTTCATGAACACCACCACCAAATGAAGAGGTGTATGAAACAAAGGTCATTTCTGAAGATGCTTTTATATAAAAAGGAGAAAAAACAAATGAACGGATCTTTAAAAAAAATCTTTTTTTAATCCCTTTTACAGAAATAATACAAAATATTTTCCAGACAAAAAGTGAAATCAAAAATCAAAATCTTTTCTTATATACTATGTAACATGTGTCTGACTCTTTGTGTAGCCTGTGTCTTTAAGATAAGGTGAATAAACCATTACAAACTAACAGTGCAGATGTCTCATGTAAAATACCCTCATAATAAATAACTTGTAAATACACAATAAAATTGCTTGTACACACACTTGAGTCATGAGTCTGTTCTATATAAACTGGCTTCACAACGACCACGTTCAGGAGGTGTGGAGTGGTTGTTTATGTTTTCAGGTTTATCGCTAGAAGACTGGATACAGAGGTCACCGCGGGTCAACAGTCTTTAAAATAGACCAGACATGAAAGCATCAGTTCATTAATGAATGGTTTTATGTTGTTTCTGTCCCTACTTCTCCCAGCTCCATTCATTCTTAGAGATGAGGATGAGATAAGAGATGTTCTTTCTCTTATGTCAAAGTGAAACTAAAGCAATAACAGTTGAGACAAAACAGTTGAACTAAAAGTAAAAAAGAACACAGTTCTCCTTTTATTCAGATGCAGGTGTATTCAGAGGAAGTCATTACAGTCCGTCTGAACCTGTATCCGATCATCGATTCAGTAAGAACAAACAGAAAATATTATATATACATATAATATAAAGTACACGTGTGTTCATATTATTACTTTCAAACCTGAATGTAAAACTATAAATAAACTATAAATAAACAACAGAAACACCCTGGTGTTTACAGTTGTATCAGTGAACTTGTTTCAATCAGCTGGTTGCAGTTTTGGAAGCGAGGCTTGCCTTTGGTTTACATTACATAACAGACAGCACCTTTAAAGAAGCTATAATCAATATTTTTATAATAATAATAACAACGTATCAATGACAATGTTCAGGAGTTAGTGGTAGTGGTGAAGCTCCAGAGAATCATCAGCAGCGTCCCTCATCTTTACAGTGAGTCAGCTCAGTGTTTTGCTGTTTACTGTTCCGCTTCACTCTCTCTGCTCTCATAGCTTCATCTTCAGCCGCAACATCTGGTGAACATAGTGGAGCAATTAGCAGCTAAAGAGCCAGATGTTTCCCTCAGGAGCTGGTGGGGACCAAACACATGATCAGTCAGTGTGTCTCATGAAGTTTTTGTTGTTGCAGGTTTAACAAACAACAACAATAAAAAGTAAAGGTGTTTATGTGTGAAGCTGTTGTGGGATCAGCTCTTGTCACTGCACCAGTACCGCTGACTGATCAAGGTTCTTGGAGGCTGAATGTAGCCTCTGAAACCCGCACACTCTCAGCCGGTGACGCCATAGACCATATTCACACTGCGGCCATTTTCCTCCTTCCCGATCGATGAACAACAGAAAAGACGATGGACAATGAATATCTGAAGGGACACTGACCAATATTTCAAGGTAAAACAACATATTTGATAACCCATTGGCTACTGCTAGACAACTGCTAACGCTAGCATTCAACCACTTCTTGGCTAACATTACTGTTTGATAGTGCTACATGCTTCAATAAGAAAGACATGAATTTATTAGCCTCAGTGGCTCACCTGGTAGAGTGCGCAGCATTGAGGCTTAGTCCTTACTGCAGCGGCCATGGCCCTTTGCTGCATGTCATTCCCTCTCTCTCTCTCCCCAACTTTCCTGTCTCTCTTTCACTGAATCTAGACTAAAGGCATTAAAAGCCCAAAAAAGGAACTTAAAAAAAAAAAAAATCTTAAATATCAATGCAGATCACAGACACGTTTAGTTCAGCCTGGAAGTAAAACACACTGCATGTAATCAAGTTTGTAATGTAACGTTAGCTACCTTGCTATCTTTTCAACCGGTTACGTTAGCAGTTTCACTGTCATGTTACTGTATCATTGGTGCAGTGGATTCATTTGTCATCTAACTTTAGTGCAGTAACATTTACATTTATGTTAATCGCAAACTTCACGTTTACTAGCCTAGCATTAGACTACAATGTTTCCGGTTACCTTCAACATCTGGCAGCTTCATCTGCCCATCTGTCAATCTGATTTTTCGACCATCTCGCTGTTCTCGCGCAGGATTTATTCAGACACATTAAAGTGTTTAAGGCTTAGCTTGACGACAGAGGAAAATGGCCACCATGTGAATATGGTCTATGACATGCCGGTCTACTGCCTCCCTAGTTCAGGAATGGGAGACAGTGAGTATGAGGACTGTGATGTCACCAGCATTAAAATTGCTTGTTTGTCTATTGACTCTTCCAACCAAACATCTTCTTAAAACCAGATAAAAACTCAGTATCTGAGTTGACATTTTCATTTTTGTCCAATATGAATCAACTGGTTTCAGGAAGTGTTGTATTATGTTGCATTATTCTATGTCAGTCTGTGACACTAATACAACAAACCTGCTTCATTCTGTCTGTTACTGTCAGTCATCTCTGCTGTTGTCTCAGTTACTTCACTGACACAATCACAGAATAAAAAGACAAAAGGTGTGTTCGTTGATGTAAAACATCCACTACCAACACTCAGAGCACCAGTACAAGCTGCTGTCACTCTCACAGTGACTGACAACAATCAAACAGCTTCTTCTTCTTCTGACTGGGTAAAATCTGTAAACCTGTGGCCAAAGTACTTTCTGATCCCAGATCATCAGAAATCAAAGAGGCCTCTGGAACCTAGTCTTTTCACAGTCCAGATGAGACTCTGTGGGAAATCAGAGTGAGGTCCGTCTCTTCACCAGATGATCCAGAGTTCAGAGTTGATCAGACACCTGGTCTCTCTGAGAACTTAGTCATACTCCACAGACTCATCCAGATCCACCACGTTCTCCTGGAGGTGAAGTCAAAGAAGTGAGAATAAAGATCATCATATACTGTTAGAGGTAAGTGCAAGGTTCCACATTCATCATCATCTGGATGTGGTCCAGACCGTGGTCACACTGAGGACACTGAGGAGGGCAGTTTCTGATCTGGTTCATGATTTGATTTGATTCTCAGACCAGTTTCTCCACAGTCTAATAAGAATTAGAATTATGATCACAATTAATCTAAATTAATTTAGATTTTAAACATGAAAAATCATCTTAAATAAACTGGTAAATATAATATAAATACATAAACAAATATAACTCTGATAAACATGTAAATCCACATCACCATCTTTACTCGGCCACTTGAATAAGGGTGTTTTAGACAGAGAGAAGTAAAAAGGATCTCAGTCCCGATCCATTGTCGTCCAGTTCTGAACCTGGTGGTTTTGTCACATGTTGTTGTCCCTGTCATGGCTCCAGTTCTCCCTTGTGTCTCCTTGTGTGTGTGTGTGTGTGTGTTAGTGTGCTAGCGTTACTATATTCATGGGTCTGAAAATCAGGAGCCCTCTATACTTGAGGGGTCCAACAGCTTTGTGGGGACCAAAATGCGCGACCCCTTAAGTTTAAATGTCTGTTTGAGGATTAAGATTTAAAATAAGATAAGATTCCTTCCTTTATCAGTCCGGCAGTGTTACAGCACCAAAGTGGACAGTACAGAACAGAAATGCATAATGAAAATATCAAATACTAAAAATTTACAAAAGATAAATAATAGATAAATAATATAGTATAGCAATAGCAGTATAGCAGAGTATGTACAGATAGATATTAAAATATGTTAAAAAAAATGTGACAAAATGGGAGCAGATAAGGAATAGGTAGGTTCAGGGGGGATAAGGATAAGGAATGCACATGGTGAGTTTGTCAGATTTTGGTTAGTGCAGTCTACTGAGTGCAGTGACTTGGTTTAAGAGTTAGCCAGAGGTGGACAAAGTCCACAGCTCCATTACTTGAGTCAGAGTAGAGATCCACCTGGTCAAGTATGACTCCAATATAAGTGAAAGTTGTTCACTCAGATTTTTAAAGTTGAAAGTTGGTAAAGTACTGGAGTACTTGATTTTAAAAAATACTGACTTATTCAAAAGTACATCTTTTATGTCAATAAATTGTTGTATTTTTCCCACATTTACAGAACCTAATGACTCTGGAACAACCTACTGACTGACTGACTGACTGACTGACTGACTGACTGACTGTAGAACCTGCAGAACAATAGAACAATATTTGTCTTTAAGTGTAGTGGAGTAAAAGTCAGAAGTTTACAAAAAGAAAAATACTACTCAAGTAAAGAACAGATACTGCAAAAATAGTACAGTACTCAAGCAAATGTACTGAGTTACTGTCCACCTCTGGAGTAAGGATTAGGTTTAGGTTAGGGGTAGAGTTGAGGTAAGGGTCAGGGGCTAGGGAATCCATTATGTCAATGACAGGTCAGATTTCTGACATGCTCTCAGCAGTTCACAGTCTAGTCCCCCTCTCTTTTGAGTCATCAGTGTCGGAGGTCTGAAGCTCTAGCTGGACCATCACGCACTCCACAGAAATGACACAGGACTCACAGGAAGAGACTTTCTCCTGCCAGATACTTTCAACCTCTTCGATTCCTCAGATTCAGAAGTCATCAGATCCAGGGAAGCATTCATTACTGTTTCCATACTGCGAGTGTAACACACACACCGCTGTTTATTATTATTCTGGGTGAATCAGATAAAGGATCTGCTCCCAGCAATTTCAACTGAGTAATGTTCTATCTATCTACCAGAGATCTTCATCAGGAGTCTTCAAATCATCATCACCGAGCAGAGCAAGTCACAAAGCAGAGCAGCAGAATTAGAGCTACATTTGCCATGTAATGGCTCCTAAGCATTATTTGAATACAGTTGATATGACAGATGTCATTGATGGACTCATCTTAAATCACTCACCCATCCGCCCTGATTCTTCACCCAGGGGGCGAAGGTCTCCATGTAGCACTCTGCGTAGCCCTGCATGCGCACGGTTCCTGTGGCCGTCACTATCCGCCGTGACACCTCCATGGTGATGGCCATGCGTCGCAGCGTTGGACTGGCCGACGGCGCCAGGGGTGGGGCCTCAGACACTTGACGGCTGGTGAAAGTGTCCAGAAGTTTGGCAAACGACGCGTAAGAGAGACGAGTGAGGCTGGAGCGCAGGAAGGGGTCTGACTGGATCTGTGAGGAGATGAGCATGGAGCCAGGTTACACATGAACACAGGTGAACACACACCTGAGGAAAACTCTCACTGTCTGTGTGCCCACCTTAGTGTTGATGGAGTCTCCCTCCACAGAGAGCACCTGAACCAGCTGCTGCACCACGGCCTCTTTATCACACACTGCTGAGAGAGAGAAGTGTGAGCCTCACAGTCACTGGGAGTGGGCCGTACGGCTCTTAGTCTCAAGGCCACTCACTGGTGTCAGCCTGTGAATACAAGTGTTAACACCTCAGTAGCAGGTGTGTATCCACACCTGCCCTCCGTGTTCTTACCTTGACGAGGGAGAATCTGTCTGACAGTCTGAAAACACTCGTTAAATGTCAATCGTTTGTTAAGAGGGATGATTTACACATGATGTAAATGGACACCTTTAGTCCTTTAGTGAAGTTGTTGTTCGTGTACTTTTCCTCACTCAACTCTTTACAGATCATCTCTGTATATGTCACAGTTCAGCCACAGTCCTACACGACACACCACACCACTGATATACAACACTGATTTTTAGTTTGAGGAGGAATGCCAACCTTGACTGTCTGGGCAGCCTCTACACCAATCATCTGTCTGACTATAGCCCTGCCCATGCTGCATCCATCCATCCATCCATCCATCCATCCATCCATCCATCCATCCATCCATCCATCCATCCATCAATCACTTTATTTGTCCCCAGTGGGACAATTGGGTATGCAGCAGCTGGTTTTACTCCCACCTGGTAAAGGTGCTATATTTAAGTTTTCTCTGCTGGGAGCATGTGGAGGTGAAGGTCACCTACCAACAGCTTCACAGGACATCAGGTTAGAACTTTAGTAGAAGAAAACACGTGAGAGAAATAGAAGCAAAACAAGAGGGTTTGATGCTGAACTCAGCAAGTAAACAGCTGCTAATGCTAAGATTAGCTATGTAGCAAAACCTACATATAGCTCCATAAAAAATGTATGCTGGCTAAACAGAGAGAGAGAGAGAGAGAGAGAGAGAGAGACTGTGTGTGCATGCGTGCGTGTATGTGTGTGTGTCTATATTTACCTGGGGGAGGCCGGGCTGGGGGACTGGGTCTCTTCATGCTGGTGGACCTCTGGGCGATCTTCTCCAGCTTCTCAGCCACCTCATTGTAGAACTCAGGAGGGTGGTCTACGTTTACATTCACCACAACATTACAAGTGACATGAGATATAAACCTTCATTTAACTCTCTGTTGTAGCTGTGTCAGTGTGTTCACATGCAGACAAAACACAGGTTGTAAAAAAAATAACACTTTGGCTTCAGAGTCCAGATTATTATAGTGTGGAGATTAAATTTTAGGATCTTACTGGGAGAGACGAGGGTCTCAGGTTCTGGGTCTTTGCTAAATGACAGTGTGGTGGGTTTCTTAGATCCATGCCCCTCTTTGTCCTTCTCCAACTTCAACCTGAAGAACTTTGAGATCTTTCTTTTGATCTTCTTCCTGTTCAGCTTCTTCTGCTTCTTCTCATCATCATCCTCTGATGTAGAGGAGGGGGAGATGACATCATCCTGTGGGGACAGGTTGTGCACAGCGTTCAGGATGTGGTAACTGATGTAGAAGTGGTATGAAAGACATCACCACCTCATTCACCAAACCCCTCTGGTCACAGTGATCAGGAGAGACCGACAGTCCCTGTAACGTCACAGAGATCACATGCTCCCTCTTGGAAACACCATTAGAAAGTCTAACAGCTCCTGTCATTTCTATGCTGATGATTCACAGCTGTACATCACACTAAAATCTACAGACTCCCTTCAACGTCTCGTGGACTGTTTTGAGGACATTAAGGGCTGGAGGGCAAAACTATTTCCTTCAGTTAGACAGCAACAAAATCTAAGTACTTACTTTGCTCCCTCTAAATCCAGAAACCTCCTCGCAAGTAAGCTAGACCACCTCACCCCATATGTGAAGTCTCATGCTAAAAACCTCTGTGTTATCCTTGATTCAGAGCTCTGCCTTGATAAACACATCACCTCTGTTGTTAAAAATTGTTTCTATCGGTCAAGAACCATTTCCACACTTCTGTCCTTCCATGATATGGAGAAAGTAATCCACGCCTTCATCACAACTCCACTGGACTACTGTAATTCTTTGTATTTAGGCCTTTTCCAGTCTTCATTATCTAGCCACATTTGTATTTCTGATGTCAAGTCAACTTTATTTCCAGAGCACATTAATTAGTTAATTAAAATAAATAAAAGCAAGATAGTTTTCTATTGATTGTCTGTAAAAGTTCATCATCACACTTATTTACTCCACCTCTGCAAACGAACTGAATGAATTGGTTAAACTCTGAAATGCAAGCCTTTAGGTGTGAAAGAGAATGGTGTACATTGAGGATGGTCGCTTTTTGTTTTAAACCAAAAATGAAAAAACGTTTTTTATGTTTCTGTTCTCAGATTTAAAAAAATGAAAAACAAGCACGACAAATGGGAAGAAATGGCCCAATTCGGATTTTGGCAAATTGAAGAATAAAGAAAGGATGGATGTAAAGGTAAATATTTCAAAATAAAAGCCAGGAGGGTAGAATGGCCACTCTATAAAAGTGTAAAATTATGCAATCACACACAGACAGTGTGTTTGTTTATTATATTTCTCTGGTGTCTGTTGAAACTCGTCTGTAGTCTCGACCTTAGAGGCTACTAATGTGTAAAACATATGCATGTAGTTATGGATATTTTGCTGATTAATTGAACAGTGTAGAGGCTGCCTGCTGCAGATATGATAATGATCAATGCAGCTGTGGCAGATTGATTTGTCCAGTATGTGATGTCTGACTGAGGATCTGATGATTTTAGAATAAAGGTTGTAGTGTCGGCTACAAGCAACAACCAACAGCAGCTAACGGTGAACATTAGCTGAATCATGTAGCATATGATTATGATGAATATGAATATGAATATGAATATGAATATGAATATGAATATGAAGTGATTTAGTGAAAGGTTGCACAATGATCAGGTAACAGTGGAGACCTCTGCTGGTTACTGTAGACAATACTATCTGGGAAGGACCACACAGTGTATTTCCACATATTAATTAATGAGGCTATTACTTCATGCTACACAAGGAAATAACACACACTTCTAATAAAATATTTGTCATGTCTTAAAGCAAAGACAAAAAGATCTTTGCTTTTATAATGTTACACTTTTATAGAATGGCAATTCTACACTCTTGGCTTTATTTTGAAATATTTACCTTTACTTCTGTGCCACCTGACTACCTTTCTTCGTTCTTCAATTTAACAAAGAACAAGGAATTTGCAAACATCAGAACTGGACTGTTTATTCCAATTTGATGTTCTACTTTTTCATTTTTTAATTGTGACAACAAAAACAGAAAAACTGTTTTAACATTTTTTCATTTTTGGATTAAAACCAAAGAAACAAACTGCCTGAAAGTACGTGGACCTGCAAGAGGAACGCATCGACTGTCTGAAATGCAAAGGGTTCATGCTCGGAAGTGTAACTGTGAAGAGATCTCTGGAAACATTAGTATATCAAGAAACCATGGAGATGTGGTCAGCAGGTGACAGATATCTTGTTCTGGACTTCAACCTAACAGGTGGGTGATGATTTCCAACACTCCACCACTAGAGGAACAACAACTGCAGCTTTTTATTAAATCAACAAGCAAAGTGTGACTTCTGTCTACAAAAAACACTCCCTTACTTCTGCTTGGTCTCTGAGGAGTGGTGGTTTTGCTGGGCTGTCCCGGTCCAGCGAGCCTTTAGGGTCTTTGGCAGAGGAGCGTGAGGTGTTACGACGAGGCAGCTGCTTAATGAAGTCTTTGAATCCAGACTTCTTCTCATCTGACGAACTGACATCTTCAGTCTGAGAGTCCAAGCCATCCTTTGCTTTTGGTTGTGGTATGCAGCTAGAACAGGAAGTCAAAGTACAGGGAACAGCAGGTTCAGGTGCAGACAAAAGCAGCTGTGTACATTCAGACTATCACACCAACAATGTTTCTATGTATGACTGCCCTCTGTCCCCTGTGATATGTTTCAGCAGACCTGGCAGATCCAGATCCTTTGAGGTCCAGTGGTCTTTGATGGGGCTTCCTGAAGGCTCCCTACCATCTGAACACCCATCATTGTTTGATGTCTTGTTAGTTTGCCTTTCTCAGAGATATATATCAGTGTTGCCATGGGTGTTCTCATGACACTTGTAGAGTAACAGGTTTGTCATGTATTTACCAGTTTCAGCCGGGCTGCTATTTCATGCATGGTCATTAATGTGGTCGTGTTCATGTTACACAACCTGCTGCTATTTTTTATATGTAAGCATATAACTGGACCCATTACTCTCCAGTTTGTGTCGCTGTGTGTGTATGATGTACGCTGACTGTTACAAGTTAGTAACAAGCCTGCTGTTCACTCTGCTGTTCACCCATACAGCCACCAGCTGGCACTGTTGTATTGTGAATGCTGTAAGTTACCTCTTTAAACGCAGCACTGTTATAACAGTAATACTACAGTGGCCCTGAGAGCGCAACACGCTGTATCTTAAAAAAACACATGCAAACAGTCAAAACACAAACACATTCAGAAAACATCTGGAGTTGGATGCACTTGTTGTTCAATGTTTAATCTTCAAAAGTCACAAAGCATTGAACAACAAGTGTTGAACTCTAAGGGCCACCGTAGTATTCGTGTAAGTGGTGGAAATTGTTGTTCACAACTACACATAGTATATTAATGTTTAATGATTAAGTGTTTATTTTTTGTTCGTTATTCTGAAACACACACTGACAGACACACTGACAGACACACTGACAGACACACTGACGGACACACTGACAAACACACTGACAGACACAGATACACACACTGACACACACACAGATACACACACTGACAGACACACTAACAGACACACTGACAAACACACTGACAGACACACTGATACACACAGATACACACACACAGATACACACACTGACACACACACTGATATACACACTGATACACACGCTGACACACAAACACACACACTGATATACACACTGATACACACAGATACACACACAGATACACACACTGACACACACACTGATATACACACTGATACACACATACACTGACACACACACTGATACACACACTGATACACACACACACTGACACACACACTGATACACACACTGATACACACACTGATACACACACTGATACACACACTGATACACACACTGATACACACTATACCTGCCGCCCTGTGTGAATAACTTGAACAACCAGAATGCTGGATTGGACTTGATTGACTGGTGTGTGATCTGACCAACACTCCTGGAGGACCCCCATCACAAAATGTCACACCATATACTGTTCATCCAACCATTCACTACCACTCACCCAGCTGTTCAACAGGAGGAATAATATGATGTTTGTGTGGTTTACTCCAGGTTAGAGGTTCACACAAACACACATGGCAGAAGAGACGGAGAAGGATTCATAAAATAAAATGCTGCTCTCAGTCTGAGGTCACACAGAGAAAACAACAGAAGAAATCTGGAGGTGTGAGTTACAGTACCTGTACTTGTTGAAGTCTGTGTAAGCCCCTCCTACTCTCCCAGGCCTCTCTTTCAAAGGGGTCGAGAGGGTCCGATGGAGGAAAGCCTGGAGGACTAGATGAGTCTCAGCCTTGACCTCCACCAGAGAGATGGAGGAGACGGAGGAGACGGAGGCAGAGCGTCCTGCAGACTCTGACATCACTGACATCAGGTGAGACAGAGGACAGGTCACACAACAAATCAGTCTCTTATTCTGAAAACCATCCTCATAAGACATCAAGTATAAAAAGGCTGAGACAGTGTGAAGATCAGGAACACAACAAGTCAAACTCCTACAGTGAGTGTACACTCCACTGTTGTGTCGCTCTGCTGGTGGAGACTGATGAACAGTGACACGAGGCGTCTTTGGCTGGTTGGAAACCTGGGCCCGTACTCACAAAGCATTTTGTGGTCGCAATTTATGTTATGGTACACTTATAAGTGCTGAGCCATAGTTTGCATAAAATTAGACAAAATATGTTCTTTATTAGACGGTAAACAGATATAGTTATACCCTTTTTAGAGGCTACACTTAAATTATGCTGAAATTAGAAACCGCCTATAATTACATATAGGATCCAAAATAAACAATACTTAGACACAATTACACTAAATTATACTCTAATTAATTAATATGCTATTAGACATAATTTTAAAATCTGTGATTTAAATGAGAAATAAAATACAATGTCATATCAGATCTAAAATATGCTACAGTTAGAAGCTATTCTACAAATGATGCTGTATTACTTCACATTGAATACTTCCTTCATGGGCCTATAGCCTCATTAGACAGCTATAATTAGAGGAATGTAGTGCCATATTATATCTGGCACATATTATTTCGCCTTTATTTGACATCGTTTTACTTTCTTACCGATCTTCATTAGAAGAAAACTGTGCTGTAAACTAAAGTCAAAGCACATCAGGTCACATCTGGCTGCTATCCACAGTCCTGTGCAGGTTGTACGTAGACATAGTTTCTACTCCCATATGTCACACACATTAGGCTATGGAAGCTGAGAGCACATTGCATCTTTATTTCTCATTGTTACACACCAGTTACAGTTAGAGCCTATTATATTCTAATAAGCACTTATTACACTTCCTTAGTGCGTGATTTGCAACACATTACAACCCGACCTGTGGCCCTTTGCTGCGTGTCATCCCCCCCCCCTCTCTCTCCCTGACTCTCTGTAGCTATCTGAATAAAGGCATACAATGCCCAAAAAATAACTTAAAAAAAGCAAACTCCTAAAAGTTTTCAATTAAAAGTTTTCTCCTAAATCGCCAGATGCTTTGTGAATATGGGTCCAGATGTGCTGCTGTATTGTGGACAGAGGCCCTGACAGAGGGGCGTTACAGGCCAGAGATGAACCGGAGCATCCTCAGTCAGGACCTGATACTGACGTTACACAGTGAGAAGGGATCACATCTCAGGCAGACTGTGTTGGTGAGATGGAGCTGGATCTGAAGATTGTGCTGAACAGAAGGACAGGCTGTGTTTGACCTCTCTCCTCTTGCAGAGTGTTGTTGAACTGTTGTATCCATGTATTTTGTTGTTTATTCAAATGTACTTTTTCACTGTGATGCTGCCTTGTGCAGGCTTTGACAATGCTGTATCTGACTACGGTCATGTCAATAAAGCTTCTTTGAATTTAAATTTGAATTAGACTGAGGTGAAGGTGGAAGAACTGCTTCTCATACCTGACTGATCTACAAGAGGATAAACATGAGGAAGTGAAATAATCTTATTGAAGTACTGAAACAGACTAAGTGAAAGCAAAACACACATACATACATACATACATACATACACACTCACACACACACACACAGCTGGACAATCCAGTCAGTTCACATTCCAGCTCTTTGTCGACCTCACACATATAAGATCACCAACAGGACTCCAATCAAAGTAACACAGAGTCTGAATCAGACCAAGACCAAAACATGTTTTTAAGAAATGATTTTAAAAATTTCTGAAATGTCACACACAGAGGCAGTTTAGTGTTTAGATCCACAGTGATCTCACCAACAGGAAGGACACAGGAGCTTTAGGTAGAAGGTAATCACAGGTTAGACCTGCATCTGTTTTCAATCATTGCTTATGGTTTTTTCATTCATTCTGAATCATGCCAGTGTCTCAAATATGATTCCACAATATACATGTACTGCATTTATATAGAGATTTTCTAGTCTTAATGACCACTCCATGCACTTTACATTATGAGTCACACACACACATTCACACATTCTATCACACACTCACTCATACACCAATGGTACATTGGGGGCAATTTGGGATTCGAAGGATATTTCGCAATGCAGACTGGAGGAGCCGGGGATGGAACCACCACCTGTATGATTAGTTAGACACTTTGTTTTGTACCAAATATCATCACAACAAATCTGCAGATACTTTGTAGAAACCTGTACAGCTGTGTGAGGGTCATAATGACACATCTGGACAGATTCTGGCTGCTATACCCCAGAGTTGACTGACTCCGTGCTGTATATGGGCCAGATTTGGGCCATGGAACCAGGCCTGTACTGGGCCAGAAGTAAACAGCATGCTGCGTAACAGTAATCCAGCTGTGGAGGCATGGACTTCACACTTTAATGTGATCAGTGATCAGGCGGTATGAACTCTTCACCTGGTGACAGTCTCAGCTAGTTTCAGTCTGGTGTCTCTGATGGAGCGTGAGGAGCTCTTGCTCTTGCCCCCCCCCCCTCACTCAAACTTAAAACACCCCCACCCCCCAGCATTAGTCATCGGAGCTGCTGTCGGGGCAGGGAGGAGAGCAGCCGGACGGGACTGGAGGAAAGCTACAGTGAACCTCTAGTTACCAGGAAGCGCGAACACGACTTTGCTCTTTTATCACAACACACTAACAGCTGGAGAAAACACACACAGACACACACACAGGCACGCGCGCGCACACACACACACAAACACACACCTGAGCTACAGTGACACAAAGCTCAGTTCCTCTAACGGTGGAAATGAAAGGGAGACTCGGACTCATCCGGACAAGACTTTGCAGTCCGGAGGGATCGAGTCCTCTGAGTCCACACTCAGCTCACTACAACACTACACCAAGTCCTCCAGACCGAGACTGAGGACAGACCACCAAACACCTCCTACCTCTGTCCGTGTGTCCGGCTCGTCCAGCTGAGAGTTTCACGTCTTCTCGCCGTGTGTGCAACTGTGTGTATCTGTCTGTGTGTGTGTTTGTGTGTGTGTGTGTGTGTGTGTAGCGCGGTCTCAGCAGTGGGAGGGGCTATGAGCCTCCGTCATACTGGCACAGATTTGAGTCGAACCGGAAACTGATGATCGGGTTTCACTGGAAACGCGTCAACTTTATTCCTCACAGTTATAGAAAAGAGTTACATTGTAAAAGAAATATTTTTTTTTCCTTTTTTTTTTTTTTAAAGGAATTTATCTTTTTACAGTTTCATTCCTTTTATCTTCCCGTTGTATCTGTGTCATTTAAGTTCTGATTTCATGTGCTGTTGCATTACCTGAATTACTGTACGTTTCCTTTGATCAATAAATAGTTGTGTCAAAATGTAACAGTGACAGGAACAGGACAGGTCTATGAAGTGCAAATACATGAACAGTGTGGAGAACTCGCTTTGTTATTCAATAACAAAATGGCTTCTGTTAGATCCAGTGTCACTGCTGATGTTAACACAGATGATCTCAGTTAACCCTGTAAAGATGTTACCATGGGAACATTCACCTGTATTACTTTAACTGAGGTTTGCAGGACTGTCATTGAGTGTAACTCCTCTACCTCATGTGTTGACCCAGTACCAACAGTCATGTTCTGAGCATTATAAACACATCTCTTCAAACTGACATCTTTCCAGATGTCTTCAAAACAGCTGTTATAAACCAGCACCTATAGGCTGATATCCAACCTTCCATTCTTTAGAGAGATACTTGGAAAGATAGTTACAGTGCAGATAGACTCCTTTCTTAAAGAAAACAACACCCTGGATTAGTTTCAGTCTCAGAACAGACCACAGAACTGAAACTGCTCTGACTAATAATAAGGTCTCAGTTCTTGTCCTTTGAGATCTCACAGCAGCGATATATACGATTGACCATAATATTCTAAATACAGTTTTTCTCAATCACTTTGCTGTAATTCACACATCAGAAACATCATTCTCACAACTCTTCATGCAGTTCTCAGAATAGTCCATGCATTTCTCATAACACTAACTCACCTGTGCAAAAGCCTCTAAAACAACCTATCATCATCAAAGACTTTGTTCACATGTGTCGAAACATGCAAAGTTAGTGGGTCACTTCAACATTGTTACTGGTGAATAAAACCCTCTCACCAGTGCGTCAAGACTTCCACTCCAAATGTTTTGATAAAAACCTGACTGACTTTAGAAAAGGAGAAGTGCAGTAAATACAGAGTAAAAAATGTTCAGACACAACGATGAAATGTGAATGATGAACTGTAACTATGAGAGAGACTGGACTGAGAGTCCAACCCAGCGTGAGTCTTTACAGTGTCATCCATCAGAAACAGGTAGGCACCTGTCTAATGGCTGCTTCACCATTACTGTAAAATACGTATTACTGCACTGTGTTACATAAACATTTGTAGGTCTTACTGTAGCCACAATATACACACCCACACCCACACACACACACACACACACACACACACACCAGTGGTGGTAGACCATGATCAGTGTCACACACACCGTCTCTCTACAGAGAATGTGCTGCAGGGGGATGTGTATAGTCTGGTGTAGTTTGCAGCAGGGTCCACTAGAGGTCCCTCTAGACGTGTCAGCTGTGACCCCCACCCCCCCCAATTCGGCTGAACCAGGTCAGACTCAGTAGGACACCGGCTGCTGTACCTGACACTGATCACTGGCACCTCTCACTGACCCTGGACTACAGAACTCAGTTTCTCCTGAATCTCTCAGCCCTGGATTTGTTCATGTCTCATCTGTCTCTGAAATGATCTGGGATTTTTTTCAATCTGTGAAAGTCAGCAAAGCTTTGATTTCAGAAACCAGGTTGATCCTGATCCAGCGGTGAGGAGTGAGGCTGATTAAGATCAATTAATATGATCAAAATATGTATTTGATTTATGGAAGAATAATCCACTAAATCCGATGAACATAAGGTCACATACTAACATATTCATACATTCACATTTCAGAGTAGTCTATGTTACATCTAATATTTATATGTAATGATAAAGTGTATAATAATATACTATGATGTGTATAATATGATGTCAGATCAGCTGTTCATGTGCAAACTCATTATTGTTCATTCACACACAGTTTAACTGAGGTTTATAAAACAGAACCATGAAGTTCTACATGATGTTTTACAGAGAGGTTTCACAGTCCTGCTGCTGTAGAAAAATGGCTCCAGAATAATTAGAGACTTCATCTTTATTATTACCATGACAATCTGCAGATCAGATCACACCATGACAGCATCACTACAGTGAATATAAAAAGCTCATGGTAAAACAAAGTGAACATGTTCATGTGTATAATATTACAGGAACTTAAGTGTCTGTTCTGAGAGAGCTGCAGTGAAGGGAGGAGAAGACACAGATCGGTCGAAATAACACGCCACTTGAAAATTCCCAAAATGCTGGGGGACTTCATACGACCCCGTAACAATAGAGAGACCACACGTCTTTTCAGAGCACTTGTTATTTTAATGATGACGATCGAACATTCAGGACTGAAGTGAAGCAGGAGAAGCTCACTTTTGAACAACATTAACGTTCCTATCATTGGTAGATCTCAATACGAGGAAAAAAAAAAATGAAAGGAGTTTTTAAACATGTTTAATGTTTTTAAAGATCATCTCAATTTAAAACATTTAAACATTTTTTTTTTAACAATGGCATCGTTTCACCAAAATTCTACTGTTGAGGAAATGATTTGTTGGCCCACTTGAAATACCTTCACCCCAGCCGACAAGTTTGGAACCACTGACTTACATTAAAACATAACATGAACCATGCAAAGTTAGTTTTAACTTCCACACAGCTCAGCGCAGAGTTTGACTGACACTGTGAAACCAGGTACATCTGATCTGTTCTTTGAGTTTATTCTAAATCAAATATATATAAAAAAAGAACAATTAAACTATAAAAGTTCTCACAGTCAAGAGCAAAGATATTTATACACAGACAATAAAGGTGAACCATTCTGTATGTGTCTCTCATTGGTTTGAACTCACACAGCCATGCAGAAATTCAAAGTGCGTAACAGGAAATAAAAATGTTCTCATGCAGCACTGATGGTGTTTTATTTAGAAGAAAACACAGCTGAGGTGAAGATGAGAATAGACACACACACAAAAAAAAAAAAGAGTCAGTGAGTAGATGATAATCGAGCCTTAGCACAGCCCCCCCCAAACCTGTCCAGCGTCACTGTTGTGTCAAGACACTGGTACAAGGATTGGGAGTGACCAGACCAAGAGGGCATGAAAGAGGATGTAAAAACCTGTTGCTGGGTCTCTGAGTCCTGAAGACGTCTTCTTTAGTTAGAACACTTTAAATACTGCAGAACAACGTCTTTGATTCTCGTGTGAACAATTCACATCAAACACTAGATAAAGCAGAGACATGAAACACAGTCAGTTCTAACAGAGGGTTTCCTGCAGTGTAAAGTCAGTGTTGTTGTGTAGCATGCTCACCTCCTGCAGCTCAGTCACTTCCTCCTCCTGCAGCGTCTGCTCTCCTCTACCTCTCCTTTATCTACAGTCAGAGCTCCTGCCTTCTGCCCCTTTGCCCCATCCTGCGCCACTGTCTGCCTACCCATAATCCTGATCCCTCTATCTATCCTCCTGTACTGCCCCTTCCCTCCCCCCTCCCGCCTCCACCGTCACTCAGTCTCACCCCTAAACAATCACTGTTCATCAGAGCTGGGGCCAATAGGGACCCGGGCGGCAGGGTGAGGCACTTCCTCTGTGACAGGAAACGAACAACAAACACCAGAGACCATGAGCGGGGGGGGCGGCGGGGGAGAGGGGGAGGGGGTTAATGAGACAGGGAGGGGGTAAAGAGATGCAGATGTTTGATGGCTCCAAGTAGAGCTGAGGTCAGGAAGAAGTCAAGACCAAGTGTCCATTGATTTCTCACATAAATCTGACCTGATTGATATGTTGTCACACTATAGGATTATTGTCAGACCCTCTGTCTGCTCATGCCACTGATGGAGACACTCACTTCTGAGTCATGAGAACTGTCTCCAGAACTACAGCTACTCAGGTAGCTGGTCATCTGACAGGTGAACACATCCTGCATCAGACACACAAACAGCTCTGCAGTAACGTCTGTCTCACAACAACATTAACAGAGAAAAAGTTAGTGTGGATGTGATTGTTCTCCACATAGAGAGACACGATCCTCTAATGGTTCCAGTACAAATCAGCAGTACTGGTTCTGCTGAAGATAATGAGGCTTCAGCAGTGAGTTAGATCAAGGGGATCTTCCAAAGTTCCAGAAAGAAATGAACTCTTTGTGTTGTCTGAAGGTAAAGTGAGCAAAAAAACTGAAGATACCAGCTTCATCAGACCTACTCAGACTGACGAGGCCTCGTGCTGGTTTAGGCTTGACCGTGGAACACATGTTTGCACGGGACAAGGACAGTGGTTTTGGACTGTGGACTTCATCCTCTGTCTCTGACACTGGAATCACATGTTTCTCCTCTGACCCGTTTTCTGACCACTGGAATTCGCTGGATGGTTTTGTAACTACTGCCTGACACACTCCTGATCTTAGAGAATAAGCATGATGTCTCAGAGGTTTCTGACTGACAACAGATCCGGTTATGAACTGTCCAAAACCCATTAAAACAGTGAGCCTAATGAGCCACACCGTTGCTCTGGGTGACACGTTCCTTCATCACCATGAACACAAAGATTGCGGTTTATCCTGATGCTGTCACCCACACATGTCCTCCTGCTGCTGGACCACCTGGTTAAAGCCCCCCTGTGGCTCCTTCCCTGTGAGATTAGGGTTGGTTTCACTGTACACTGTGATGTGCAGGCCATTTCACTCTCATCAGCTGATGGAGCAAAGTTTCACCGTGCTCACCTTAACTCTGAGTTTAAAACGTGGACGAACCTGCAGGATTGTGATACGTCACAACCAGAGACAAGTTGTCACTGTGAACAATGCTGAGTGTTTTCTTAAGCTTTATTTATCTAAGGAAGAATCACAGAGAGTGATCCCTGCAGCCATCAGCACTGTCAGAGGTTATTTGGTTGGATGTAGGTTGTGATGTCAGGTGACCAAGATTCAATGCCAGGTCAACATGTAATGCCAGAATTAACGTGTTGTAGAATAAATGACGAAAGCTGATGTTGATATTTTGTTGGTTTACTGTAAACTAAAGAGAAAGAAAGAAAGAAAGAAAGAAAGAAAGAGGAAGAAAGAAAGAAAGAAAGAAAGAAAGAAAGAAAGAAAGAAAGAAAGAAAGAAAGAAAGAAACAAAAAGAAAGAAAGAAAGAAAGAAAGAAAGAAAGAAGATCGATATCATTAAGTGTGATTAGTGTAGAGGACAGACATGTGCAGCAGGCGTCAGGATGGAGATGATGGAGGGGTGGAGGGGTGGAGGGCAGGGGGCTGATGGAGTGATAGTGATGGGCTCCTGTTCAAAGGGGCAGATAGCTGATAACTGCTGGGCGGGGTGTCTGTGGGGGATAGTTGTTTATGAAAGAGGTCCAGTCCCACTTATTATCTGCCACAGCATCCTTCACCAGTCTCACCACATCATTAAATCCAGACTTTATGAACGGTGTCGCCATGGCAACCCAACAATCTGACTACATATGACCCTATATGGTCTGGACCTGAGATGATAAGTGCGGGGTCAGCAGGGAGTTTATCTGTGGCTCTTCCCTCGTTTTTCTTATCACAGTTCATTTTCTCTCTGTTTGTTTGTTCTCATTCATTTTGTTGATGAAACTCCTTCGTCCCGCTGCAGAAGTAAGGCTTCTGCCTCCATTTCCACCAGGACACTGACAAACAAGGCCGTCGCTGCAGAACAAAGTTTGACCTGTTCTGGGGCCAGTTGCACAAACACCTTAAGTTAAGATTTTCCTTAAAGTCTGAGTTAAGGTTTCCTCAAAATACAAATAGTTGCACAAAACAAATCTTGTCGTTAAAGTTTCCCTAAAATGTCCACTGTAGTATTTAAGGTTTCTTTCCCTTATCTTAGTGTTATAGTTCACTTGAATCACTTGAAGTTACAAAGGACCTTAGTGACAAAAAGTAAAGAAAAAGACTAAAGGAGACACTGTTAAAGATGAAGAATTGATTTTACATCACAGGTGTGACCAGCAGTCAGTTTATGATGGATCCTTTTACTTTCTGCAGCTTAATGGTTGCTCTGCGGTTTTATGCCACGTGATCTTTCGAGGTGTCACCTCAACTTTTTCCCTTACCTAAGGAAACCTTTTAAGAGATTCTGTGCAATGCCCTTAAGTAACCCCCTCCAGCTAAGGAGAAATAAAACCTTGAGTGTCAAAACTTGAGGTGTTTTGTGCAACTGGCCCCTGGTCTTTACTTACAGTAAATAAAGTTTATAAAGTGTAGAAACAACTGAATGAAGTTTTTTACAGCAGCAGACACGTGTCAGCCCATTTCAGTGTGTGCATCTGTGAGTCGGAGCTTTATTTGCAGTGGGTGTAGGGATCTGCTAACAGGAAATCCACAGTCACATAGACAGGAAATGCTGCTGTTCACACACAGAAATAATCAAGTCATGCAAGGGAAAACAGAGTCGCTGCTAACATCACTGTTGGTTCAGGACAGGGTTCACTACAAACAGTATTGATCAGTTATTGATGGCCCCTCACAGATTCACGACAAACACTCCAATTTACACAAACTGCAACAAGACAGCTGGAATATTTTAAACTGATATAGTAAAAATTAAAACCTTCCAGCCAATAAAAACAGGCTTTTTAAAGTCTAAATATTTCACTCTCAGTGTGTAAGGGTTCTGTGATTCAGGACCCCCAAAACAGAACACAAGCCAGGGACTGAAGGTGAAATAAGTTCTTTATTGTAAGGGGAAGCTGAGCTGGGGATGAAGATGGGAGAAAGAAGGCTCAGGGGTTTGGGCAGGATGACGGATAGGGGTAATGTCCAAGGGCAAATTTCCAGGGGAAAGGGATTGGGTTGCCTGCAGGCAGAGAGGGGGAAAATTGACTCCTCCATGGACAATGCAGTAGTGGAAAGGGAGCCAGGCGGGGAGCCACAGGTGACTGGATTCCAACGAATAGGTGAGATCAGGACTGGAGTGGCAGACAAAAAACAGAGCTGGTTGTGGCAAACCAGGTAGAAGCAGGATGCTGAACCTGGGGCACAGGAAAAATCACACATCAAAAAGTCCAAAGCTTTGAGATCCAAAAACCAGAGAAGGACATAGCGCAATACCACAATGTGGCGAAGAATGGTGAAGTGAGCCGGTCTTAAATACTGCTGCAGGATGAGGACCAGATCCTAGCACAGTGCTGGAGTCTCCTACAGAACACACTGTGTGTGATGCAGTGATACATAAATTATACCTTAAAGAAATGTAACTGGAGAATCAACAGTTTGAGGTTTTTGAATAATCAGTATGATTATTTACTCACCAGTCGAAGTATCACTGAGTGTGGAATAATCCTCTTTAAACACCTGAACACACTGAATAAACAGAGCAGGGTTTGGAAGGTCTTCTCAAAGACTGGTTCTCTCCTTCTAGTCCAGTTCTCAGTCCACTGACATTCAACACTGGCTGTGTTTATAAGATCATTCAGATCATTGATGACAGTGAGCTTCACACTTCCTCTGATAAATCAACTCAAATCTCAGACAGTATGTTAGCACATGTGTTAAATATCTGTCGTAGTTTCCAAGCTGTTTCACAAGCTGTTTATGTATGTATGTATAAATTAATATAATAGGACATATTGTTAACATACATGGTCACAACATGTTATACCATACAAAAATTCATCATCTAGATACTTTTATACATGTACATATAGAAATTTTACTGAGTATTTAATATCTGTTATAAACTTATATCTTTGTATATCCAGAGGATGTTTTAATGTGATAATAATATCCCTTATAGTTACATATATGGCAACATCAGTCTTAATATAGGGACATATATGTCATATATTACATTTCTGTATGGGAAACTAAAGACAGGTATGGCAGGAAGAGAAGGAACCTACAGGGTACACCTGGGTACAACAGGAAGTGGGGTACAGGGTAGACAGGAAGCTGCTGTGGATTCTGTGAAGGAGATTATAATTAAACCATAGAACCTAATGAAGATTTTGTTAGAATTAAAACTATAATTTAAGATTGATTTATTTGCCCATTGGTGTACAGTAGAACAGGGACAATATCATACCTCATACGCTACAGTAGGTGGCGGTATGTACTTTAGAACCAATGGCTGCAACCCGCCACGAAACCACACGAAGAAGAAAGGGGAGGCGGAAGCGGAAACAGGAGAAGAAGAAGACGAAGAGCAAACTTTGGTGGATTAAACACCTTTCTCCTTCAGGTAACGTTACACCGTGTAAACAGCTCTGCTGGCCGACCCAGTCTCAGCTCGTGTCGCTCCGCTGAATACATTACACCTGTGTGTTTACGTTCAGCAGCTTATATTAGCACGTTAGCATCACTGCTCACAGCAACAATAACACCGCCATGTTTCCCTATGGTCCTTCAGATCAGCTGCTTTAACGAAACGATGACCCGGCACGGGAAGAACTGCACGGCAGGAGCTGTCTACACGTACCACGAGAAGAAGAAGGACACAGGTGAGAACCCTGGCGAGCCGGACAGGTGAACCCCGGCTCAGTCCCTGGTGAGGGCCGGGACGGTCTCACAGCCACCCGAGCAGCAGCGACATGTAGCCGGTGTTGTGGACAGTAAACAGAGAAGTTTTGTGGTCAAACAGCTGCCGCACCTGTGTGTCAGTGGTCACATGTTTCACCTGTCACCTGTGTGTAAGATGATCCACACACTGTTGATACCTGTAAACACATTCCAGTCATCTCTGGTCGACATGCTGCTTCGTCTGTCAGTGATCAATCAAATCCTTCAGGGACAGGAATCTACACACATGCTCTTTATGCCTTTTTTGAACTACCTGAGCACTAACAGCAACTGTTCTCTTCATTGTCAACTTACATTAGTCAGTTCAAGTGTGCAGAGCTGGTCAGATCAGGCAGAGCAGTGAAATCAGCTGACGATTTATCACTATGAGTGACACCTTCACACTGATGCATAGTTTTCATTTGGTCATGATACAGAATTATTACAATATCTATCATAGTTGCTTCAAACAAAAAAGAAAGAAGGAAAGAAAGATGCCTGATTTCTGAACCAGACTGTGTCTCACTGATCTTCTCTGGTGTCATTGTTGTGATGACACTACAGACGACAGCCCGGCCTCCATGTCACACAAAAACGTTCATTATGGAGTCAGGTTGGCAGAATAAGATACATTTAAACTCCACGTAGTAAATGACATTAGAAAAGATATGAGCTGACATGTGAGCAGCTGTGGCTCAGGAGGTAGAGCAGGTCATCCACTAATCAGAAGGTCGGTGGTTCAATCCCGATCCATGTGTCCAAGTGTTCTTGACCTGAACCCTAAATTGTTGATGACTGTTCCATTAGTGTGATGTATGAATGTGTGAGTGAAAGTGGCAAGTATTGTACAGCCCTTTGAGTGATCTCTAAGACTAGAGACGCTCTAAATAAGTGCAGTCCATTTACCATGTGAGTGTAACTGGGGCACCATGTGACCACGTTGTGTGTGTCTCTTCCGGCTCAGCGGCGTCTGGTTACGGGACTCAGAGCATTCGATTGGGAAAAGACGCCATCAAAGACTTTGACTGCTGCTGCCTGTCCCTGCAGCCCTGTCAGAATCCTGTGGTCACGTATGTTTCTCTTTCTTAAACACACACACACACACACGCGCACACACACAGGAACATACTGTATAACTTTATCATGTGACCATGTATATAACACACAGTGTGTGTTGTTTCTGCTGCTGTCCTCAGTCCAGATGGATACCTCTATGAGAAACAGGCGATTCTTGAATACATCCTGCATCAGAAGACAGAAATCGCCAAAAAGATGAAGGTAAACACTGCAACCTCTATTCACACAGGTGTTTCCATGGAGATTTAGTAGAGAGATCTGTCCACAGGGAAACACCTGAACTATATAAACAGTCAACATCTGCATCACAGCTACATCTGGTGAGGACAGAGATGGACAGCTGCTGATAACATCTGTATTTAATCAGCTGTGCTCTGTCACTGGCTACATCAACGTTTAACATGTGTGATCACAGACAGACCTTAGTGCCAAACGATGTCTGGACACCAACACACATCAAAACACTGTTTGACAAAATCAGGTTCATCAAGTGAATGGCAACAGTTGTGTTTTCAGCCTCGTTAAAATTTAAACTGATCGATCACAGAGAACCGGTTCAGACCTGGTATTAAAATCTTTCTCAGCTGATCCGATCACAAGTGGTCAGCTCTAAGTTCAGGTGTGTACGCACCAAAGGTGCATTGAGGACACATTTGAGATCCGATCACTCAGACCACATTCAGAGGAGGTCTGGACCACATGTGGCCACATTTTTAGCAGTGTTAATGTGAATGTGTCCTGGGCCACACTGAAGGAGCAGCTACTCTACTGACGTCCTCTGCTACAGTCTGATTAGTCCCAACACTGTTTAGAATGAAAGGAAATATTTTACTATTTCAAATGGATAAAACTTGATTTCACTGTAGAGCTGGGAGTACAGCAATGATTCACTCAACCCCTCTGTACCTCTCTCTCTCTCTCTCTCTCTCTCTCTCTCTCTCTCTCTCTCAATGGAATTAAATTATCAAAGAAAAAAATGTCAATAACAATATTAATGTAATAAAATATAATAGAATTAATAGAATTTATAGAATAATTGATTATGAAAGAAAGAAAAGGGATAGCAATAGGATTATATACATATACACTCCCTCCCTCCCTTCCTTTCACTCTCTCCCTCTCTCTCACACACACAAGCACATTAACATTAACCCGTCTGTTGGCCTGTCGATTGGCTAAAAATAACAACACAGACCTGTTTATTTGCATATGAAGCAGGAAGTGAGATCCAATCACAAGTGGTCACTGGAGACTCATTTTAAATCCAGTTGTGAATTGATGAACTTAGAGCTGAGACAGATGTTAATACAGGTCTGAACAGGAGCAGAGAAGGCTTGAGACATCAGAAGTCACACAGCCCCCGACCCTCTGGCCAGCTGATGTCCTTTTACCCTGCCCACACTGCAACATTTTAAGATGAAGCACAGAAAAATATATTCATAACTTCACCACGTGGATGTCAGTGTTTGTTATTATCCACAGTTGACTCCCACCTGTGTGGATGTCGTTCATGTTGCTGAAACATGTTAATGCCTGAATGAAATGTGGGTCTGTCTTTCCTCCTCGGACTCTTCAGGCCTATGAGAAGCAGAAACAGGCACAGAAGAGCAGCAGTCAGCTGGAGTCCAAGTCAGAGGAGAGAGAGAGGGTGGAGAGGTTTAAGACCAGGGAGAACAGCATCGTGTCCAAACCCATCAACCCGTTCACATCAGGTGCGTCTGTGCTGTTAGATCATGTCATTATAGAGCCGTGTGCAGAGCAGTCCTTTAAATCGCGCAGGTTTCCTGGTCCACACTGAGCTCTCTGCAGCGTCTCACACGTCCAGTGGTTTTGTTTTTAACAGTGATGTGTGAAAGTAAATTTTCAGTGTGTAAACAGTAGAAACTGTTTCCCTCCTTCAGGTCAGAACAAAGGAGGAGAGAAGGTCAGGACTGACAACAGCTCAGCAGAACCCTCCTCCTCCTCCTCCTCCTCCTCCTCTTCTTCCTCCTCCTCTTCCTCTTCCTCCTCCTCCTCCTCCTCCTCTGCTACTTCAGCCTCCACCTCCAGCCAGGGTCTGCCCAGTTTCTGGATTCCCTCTCTGACGCCGGAGGCCAAACCCACCCTGCTTAAGAAACCAGTGAGTAGCTGCTCCTGTCCAGTTTGATCATCTGTCAGTGTTCACAAAGGGGAAACGAATCCATAATACTGTAACTGAGCAGCAGGGTGGTGATGTCATCTGATTTATACAAACAAGAAAGTAAGAAAAGTGATTAAGAATGTCATCAGTGCTCAGAGAAACCACAACAAAAATTGTTTGTGGATAAAGAATTTATTTAAGTAGATATTTAACAGCATCATCATTTGGATTATCATAGTAACAAATAATATTTTAAAGGTTGAAGGAGTTAGGAGAGAGTTAGCAGCTTCAAAAAAAAAGTTAGATGTTTACAAAACGTACAAGAGGAATCGGTGTCTGAAAATGTGGCATGAAGATAAGCTAGCAGGGTATATATTATACAAAATTTAAAATGAACTTCCTTAGCCTTGTTTGATAAACAGTAGTCTGCTAGAGTCTGTTAGTTTAATCCCATCCAATATCAGTAAAGACTGTGTTATATTATTCTCACTATGACATAAAGGTAATTTTTCCTTGATTTTGTGCTGAGTAGGTGACTGATGACTTGTGATGTGATGCACCATACGATCAGGAGTCTGCACAGGGTGTTTTATTTTGAAAAAATGTTCCTGTGTCTGACTTCCTGCCTGCTTTGATGACAGTGTGTGGTTGTTGTTGCCAGGTTCACCTGTTTGCTTTAAGTGTTGATGTCATGATGTCCTCTGTGTGTTTGTTTTGTGTGTCTGTCTGATTCATGCTGACTCTGTTTTAGACAGAGGGCAGGTTGACCCTGGGTCCAGACCTGGAGACCAGTTCACTGCGTTCATTTTAAAATGAAAACGATCTCCATCCAGACTAACACACCTGAAAACACATACATACATACGTGACCATTCATGTACACTGAGCATGTTTGAGCCGGTGTAAACCGGAAGCAGATCGTCTGCTCTGCAGTGGGTCAGTTGCAGGGACAGTAAAGACAGCTGCAGTGTTAAAATGCAGAATGTAACTTCACAACAGCTGCTAGCAAAGACAACAAGGTCAGTAATTCCTCATCATGTTGTATTCACCACTGGTAGTCCAGGCTGATGAGACACAATCAAGGAGCGACCGCGGGCGTCTACGTCATCGTTTCCAGAGGTTCTCCGTTTCAGTCCGTCCAGATGAACAACACAACCAAAACTAAAACCGTCCTGCAGCGTTTCTGAAAGTCCCTGTTTTTACGGTCTGAAAACTCCAGAGTCATGTGGACGCCAGGAGAAGGGAGAAAATGTAGCAGAAGAGATTTGTTTTAAAACTAAAAAAACAGTAGTGTAGACATAACTCTGACTGTGTGACATCACTGCTTTAAACACCCCCCCCCCCCCCCCCCCCCGTCTCTCCTCCCTCTGTGTCTCTGTCAGATGTAAGGCTGTGTTGTGTCCCATGTCAGGACGACCCATCAAGATGAATGAACTCATCACAGTGCGCTTCACCCCCCTGGACCCGAGCCTGGACCGAGTGGCCCTGCTCACCCGCCAGGTCTGTTTACATCAGCACCGTGTAGTGGTCGGTGTGAACCGGGACCCGGGTCTGATCAGCTGGCGGTTACGTGTTAACATGACTTAACCAATACCTGACTGAGACACTGTCGCCTGTCAGTACTGTGGTATAACCCTGTCCTCTGTCTTCAGGACAGGTATGTGTGCGCAGTAACCAGAGACATCCTGGCCAACAGTGTCCCCTGTGCTGTGCTGCGACCCTCGTGAGTGTCAACACGTCTCATCTCTGACAGCCTGATGTGAAGTGTCTGTGTTAGGACTCTTGGTGACTGTCTCTGTCCATCTGCTTAGGGGGACTGTGGTGACTCAGGAGTGTGTGGAGAAGCTGATCAAGAAGGACATGATGGATCCTGTGTCGGGAGACAAACTGTCAGACAGAGACATCATTCCACTGCAGAGGGTGAGTGTGGAGAGCTGGGGAACCGGGGACTATTTACATTGACTTATCCGTCTGATGCTTTTATCCAGAGAGACATCACTGAATCTTCAGTGCAATAGGAGACCTTGGTGTAAGTTCTAAGTACTACATCTGTGTAATTAGTGAAGGAGATCAGGTGAAGAAGAGCCGTGAAAGGTCACAATAAGAGCTAGTTAGACATGTCAGGGTGTAGGAGGTGTTAGGAGAGGAGGTGCTCTCTGAAACTAGTTCCTATAAGAATCAAGGTTCATTCCAACCGTCATCCTGTGTTCCTCAGATCATGTAGACACACCGGCAGCCGTGTTGCTGAGGTCAGGGGCCGGTTCCCCAAAGACAGACTTTGACTGTGTCTTAGATATAACAAACAGTCAGACTTCAGATAGACATCTGTTCTGGACCATCTGAAGATGGACTGTGGTACAATGAATTCTGGGTAAATTAAGACTTTTTTCAATGCGCATCCAACCGCTCAGTTCCGTTTACTCCAGCAGAGCATGTTTGTCTTCTGGAAGAATTCAATAGTTACAAGGACGTTTTACTTGAAACAATAGTGAAGCAATAAAAAGAAAAATCACTTTGGTCTCTAAAAACTCTTCCCCTTCTCTCTGCTCAGATTATGAGCCATGTTTTCCTGTTTCTTGTTGTCATTTGCAAAAAAAATCTGTTTTCACTTTGTCATTATGGGGATTTGAGTGTAGACTAATGAGG